CAGACATCAATGTGGTGGTGGTATGACGTAAATACTACACGGAAGTTTCTAAGAATGAAATTATCAATTCGTCAACATTCAGGTCGGTGTGCTCTACTGAGAGTCATACATGTAGAAAACAGTCATAATTTTATCGTAACTACATCACAGCTTAAGACCTTTTGTGAACATTTGAAGGTCCCTAAACTACACAACATAACCCCGTAAAACAACGTTTCATCTCGGCCTCTAGTAAGTGTTTTACAACTAATCTTTCAGTTCTTTTAACTAGGTTCTTAACTACTATCTGAGAAATCCCCATTTAATATTGTAATATAACATATGAAAATAGTGGAATTAACTATTTATGGAATGTACAAAATTCTTTGGATAGTTTCTAAGATAAATTACATGGTTTTGATGGTCTTTTTGGTTCTGCTGACATTTTCGTTTTTTTCAACTCTTTACACTACACTTCCACACATTCTTATCTAACAAACGTTTTTCTATTTAATTAAATGGTCTGCAACTCATTAAAAGCCTTCTTCGCCAATGAGAAAGGTAAATATAATAGATATACTTACTGGAGGTTTGGTGAGATTATTGAAGCGGTTAATGTTCCCCTCATTGTTACATTTATGTACGTTTCGACAAGAAAGTGTATCAACAGGTTGTATGTATTCCCATGGGCACCAATTACGCCTCTTTAATAGCAAACTTGTTCTTGTACTGTTATGAACCACAGTTTATGACCACACTTAACAAAGATCCGTCTAAATTGATAAATTCAACGACACTTATCGTTATCTTTATGATATTTTTTTGTTAAATAATCAAGAATTTTCTAAAAACACTGCCGAAATTTACCTAAAGGAACTTACATTGATTAAACCATATATAAACGGTAATAACTGTCCTTTCCTAGATTTAAATATTTCAGTTTTACACGGGAAACTCTTCACTAAAATTTACGACAAAAGGGACGATTTTTCTTTTCCTATTGTTAATTTTCCGTTTTCTGATGATAATGTTTTTGCACCAGCTTACGGTGTTTATAGATAACAACTCGTTCGCTATGCCCGTGTCTGCAGTGACATTTTGGATTTCAATGATCGTAATCTATGTATAACTGGTAAATTATTAAGTCGGGGATTTCGTTACCACATATTACCTAAAACCTTTACTAAATTCTTCAACATAAACATGATTTAGTTTGTAAGTTTGGCTTTCAAACAATATTGCACATCATAATTTTTACGGCGATGTTGTTTACCGAGCCTGGAAATTTAGATACGACCCGGGTAAACTAATCGCTCCTTTAAATAAACTTATGCTAAAAGGTTACCAATTCAACAATGTTATTATACCTTTAAATATTGTTTGTATTGGTATAAAAATTGATTTTGGTAATCAGTCAATTAAAACCAAACTAATATTATTGTTATATATATATATATACATATTTGTTCATATGTTGTACAGGTTAGGAAGAAGGATGGGCGCCTGCTAAAATGTTTACGACCGTTACATTCTGTATGAGCCTGTAATTGAGTGGTTGTCGTTTTTTACTGTATATCATATTTGTATTTCGTTCCTTGTTTTTGACATAAATCAGGCCGTTAGTTTTCTCGTTTGAATTGTTTTACATTTGTCATTTCGGGTCCTTTTATAGCTGACTATGCGGTATATATTTTGCTCATTGTTGAAGGCCGTACGGTCCCCTATAATTGTTTACTTCTATGTCATTTGGTCTCTGGTGGAGAGTTGTCTCATTGGTAATTATACCACATCTTCTTATTTTTATATTTTGGTATTATGGCCGACGTCAACATTTTTAAGAACATTTGTTCGTAAGTTATTCAATCGGATTCTTCTTAATTTCGAAAAGCATATTTTTCATTAGTTCAATTGAACTTGATAGTTTTGCGTACAAATGACAGCATGCATTAAAAAATAATTCCTTTTGCATTATTTACCAGATAATGAACAGTTCTTGTTAACAGAAAACTTTTTGATTTTCTTTGTCCTTTGGTTGCTGTCGTCACATGTCTTTTTTTCCGTATACCATGTATACACATTGAATTTTAAAAAAAGCTTGCAGTACAATATTTACTTGATCCTTAATCTGGTGTATCGCATTTCCGATGAAGAGATATCATATTAAAGCGTATAAAATAATATTTTTTAAGTTTTTAACGTGCATGCAAGCAAATAAATGGTACAAAGACGTATGGTTAATTCTTCTTTAACAAATAGTACAGTATGACAAACATCATTACACATTAACATGAATCTGAAACAATCGAAAGAAATCACTGGAATCAATCATGCGTTCGTCATGACTAAATGAATGAGGGGAATGCGTAAATGAGACAACAACCCACAAAACAAATAACAAACAGACATCTACAGGTCAACAAACATTCTTTATCAATAGACAGGCGATCCCACAATATATCAACGTCTTTATTGTCCCCAGTCCTTACAAGTTAAAATTGGAAATTTAGATTTACCAGCTTTCATATGAAATCAAAATACATTTCAAGCGTGCTGTGCAAATATTAGTATACACACATATCGGAAGACATCTTTGGTTTTTTATTATTTTTTTTGTTTTTGTTTTTGTTTTTTTTTTGGGGGGGGGGGGGGGGGGGTTATTAATAATCGAAGATATGGTTTACTAAATAGTTTTCTTTTTACATAAAGTCTATTGTAATAACAAATTAAAGACAAATACATCGTATTGTATTTTAGTATTTCAGTGACCTTCATTTTCATTCAAATAAAAAGATTTATTGTTTCTGTCATATTGTTGTATTTAAAAGTTATTATATTTTGATTATGAGGAACCAATGCCGTCTTTAGAACGTAAAACCAGTGTCAATACAGTTATAAATTTATAAATTATATCGAGGTAAATCAAACTATACCGATGGTTATGTAGCAACAATCTATCTTTTAGTACCAGATGTTGTGCGTTTTCTGCAAGGTTAATTGAAAACACCACAAACTGTTGTTCGTCTAAATATTCAAAAATTAGAGCAAAGGGTGGACGGCTTTGAATCAGAAAACAATAAGTAGTCGCGATGACTCAAGTGTTTCTAATGACTGTTTCCTTGTGATCTAACATATAAATACGACTCTGTCTAAATCCAAACAAGTTTCGTATTTACATCTAATTGACATGTGTTCTTCCTGAATATTTCAAATTTTCGCCGCAGGACATTCAGCATAGTATACCCTAAATTCTTGCAAGTGAGCCCTTACAGTTCAAACTGAAAAATTACTATTAATACCAGCTTTTGAAATGGTTAAACATTATAAACTTATAAAAAAACAGTTTTTAATGAAATAATTTAAATAATCGTGAGAAGATGGATAAAGTAAGGTAAATAAAAAGACAATGTATCTTATTCAATTGCAGTAACTTAACACTATATAAATTGTGTATAACTGAATATAATCTTCCAGTTTGTTCGTGCATTGGTTGGGTTTTAATTAGCAAAAGAATATGTTTATGTTACAGGCATTTTCTTAATTCAGGCAATTTCTAAAATGCCTGAAAAATTTAGGCATTTTATATATAGACTAATTTGTTCTGGCTTTTCACAAAATCCCTAGAAAATTGAAAGTCATTTTACAAAATGCCTGAATTATTTTATAGAATGAAATGTTCACAGCTACACAGCAGTTTATATATGATAATTGCTGAAGTTTAAAGCTCGCATTTAAAGAGATAAGATTATCAAAAATAAAAACGACTGAATTATTGAGAATTTCCACAAGTAATAAACTCGACAATTATTTTTAGTCATTTTATATAATGCCTGGCAAGGTAAGCCGTTTTATAAATTGCCTGAAAATTCGGTTATTTTACAAAATGCCTAAATTAAGAAAATGCCTGTAACATATACATTGTAAGTACAATGTACATATACAATCAACTTTCTCAGGGCTGCATTTAATTCCTGAACCATATTGCAATACTTTGTACAAGTCAAATATCATGTCTGTAGTGCATGTTTTGTTTTTAGTTTAGGAATATCTTTTCATAGTTTGAAATGCACATACATTGGTAACATACAGTTAGCGAAATGGATCATGAAGTAGAACATATAGTTTTTTGCTAAAAACAAACACAACTAAAGACCATATACAACCCTTTCCTTTTTAGTTGTTGTACATCTTAGTCCAGATTTTTACAATTACTTGGAAATCATTGTAACATATTTTGGAAAGATACATACATGTATAAAACTTTCAAACAGTTGTCTCAAATAATTTAGAATTATCAATTTAATACATATTGATAAGTCTTCGAAAATTTACACTATACATGAGATTTTTTTTTTTCTTTTTTTTAAATTCCCTTGAGTAAGAATGCAAACCAAAATAATGTGTTGTAAAGTAGTTATAACATTTGATATATTGCCATAAGTTTTACGTTATTGGATTATTGTTAAGCCCATAAGCGCCAGCGACAAATATCTCATGATGATGTAGATTAAATCGTTGAACATGGTTGGAAATGCATACAAAGAAAATAATATTTTGAAATAATTAAGTAATTGAGGTAACGTTCATGGTTCATGGCGATTTTCTCACAATTACGTTTTACCTCCATATGCCTGGACATGTCATGGTGGATCACATATAATGCCTTGAAAGGGATAACAACAACCCATATAACTTTAACTTTACGAAAGTATTGGACATATGGTGTCTTGATATGGGTCAATTAACTTACATAATTTAAACTTAACGAGAATAGTAGACATGTAATGCCTTAAAATGGGTGATGGAACATGGTTCAAATTGGATTTTTTTCTTGTTTACCAGGGAAAAAAAAAAACATTACAAATTCAAAAATTGTGAGATATTTAAGCAAAGTATTACATGTACTAGTTATGTCACTCTTTAAAACTTTTCTAAATTCGTCTCTTGTTTGTATAAGTAAAATTTAAAAACATATACATACTATGTTTGATGTATTGATCAATTATTGTTTTACCTACAGAATCTTTGGTATGCTGCTTATGAGGGTAGATTGGAAGATGTTAAACAACATTTAACTGGAGGAGCTGACAAGGGATATAAAAATGAAGACATAGTAAGATAATCTAATACATTTAAACAAACAACATGTTGATAAGTATGGAGTACTTTTATACTAAATGTTTTAACTCATACCTTATGTCAGTGTGTATGTCATTGCTGAATATAACTTATCACATGACTTTACATTGTCACGAGCAGCATTATGGGTACAACTAGAAGAGCAAAAACTTGCTACCTTTCATGAACACCAGAGTTCATATGCAGTTTAAGTTGGGATTACTACTGCAAAATGGTACGTTTGTATGCACTGTTATTGATAATGTCTGCTTGTCTTTTTTTTGTAGACTTGTAAGTAGTGTCAAAAGGCCGATTCTGCGGCACTTTCCATTTTTAAGGGGAAATCTAGCATAGGAACCCCAACCCCAAACATAAAATGCAAACCAAATACATTTCAATTAGCTTAAGGGTAAAAACAAGAATGTCTTTCAGTTTAGCACAAAACCCAAACACCTTAGAAGGATGTAATCCTAGGGTAAATACAAATATGTCTTTTACACAAAACCCAAACACCTAAGAAGGATGTAATCCTAGGGTAAATACAAATATGTTTTTTACACAAAACCCAAACACCTTAGAAGGATGTAATCCTAGGGTAAATACAAATATGTCTTTTACACAAAACGTCAGAGATACCCCAGCCCCAAATACCTTAGAAGGAAGCATTCCCCAAATTGATATATATGAAGGGATGGCATCCAATAGTGTTGATATGAATATGGATCAGTTCAAAGAGAATGAAGAACTCAAAACTTGTGGTGCTCCACTAAAAAGAAAGAAGGGGCAGTTTTGTAAGAGTAAACCAGGGAAAGATGGGCTTTGCTGGAGACACAGTAAAGAACCACGCCAGCAGGAGGATACCCCAGTTGTAGGGAATATTGTGGTGAAAACCACCATGAAAGAACTTCGAAAAATCGCAAAGAAGGAGGGTCTTAAGGGATATAGTAGGAAACCCAAGGGGGAATTGGTTAAGTTAATTGAGACCAATACTGCCCACAAATTTACTCGCAAAGAGGTTTTTACCAAAAAGGAACTGAAGACCATTGCCAAAAGACGGGGAATTACCAACTATTCCCGACTAGGGAGAGCTGACCTGACCGAACTGGTGAAAAAGAACATTGAAAATGCCCCCGTTGAAGAGGAAATCAAAATTGTTAACCGACGCGATGCATTGAAAGGTGTATTTGGCACAATCACCATTGAACCCTTGAAACAGCATGATATGCTAACGTTTTTTAATGTAAGTCAAAGCACTATCGCCAGCACAATTTCAGATGCTCTCACCAAAAAAAGAAGGCCCTAAAAGTGCAATTAGTACTACAGGTGGAGATGGTAAAAACAAACCCAGCGACCGGAAAAAATACCTACGTCATTCCCTACTTTAGATCAACCCTTACCACCATCACCGAATCCACAGACCTTGAGTTGGAAATAGCATTTATGGTCGAGAAGGTCAAAGAAAATATGGTTAAATACATGCGTAAAGGTAGTGTGTGGACATTTGGTAATATTGAAAAGCTAGACATCCACTTAAACAAGTTTAAACCTCTCAAGGGCAGTTCCTACATAGCATTGCCAAAACCGCTCGCTCAAAAGAAAGCTATCATCAATGTGCAGAATACTGATCAGGAATGCTTACGCTGGGCCATTCTTTCAGCCCTACATCATGAGGAAGTTGTCAAAAACTGTACCAAACGGGTGGGTCAGTACAAAAAGTGGGCTGATGAGTTCAATTTTGATGGCATTGAGTTTCCAGTCTCGCTAAAGGCCATTGACAAATTCGAGAGGCAGAACACCGACCTAAACATTAACGTCTTTGGCTTTGACGGTGTAAAGAAGGGTGAAGATGAAGAAGAGGACCTCCAAATATATCCCCTCAGAATATCTAAGAATACAGGTTCGAGACATGTGGATCTTCTGTTCCTGACCAATACGAGCACTATTGCTGGATTAAGAGCCTATCTCGACTTTTGAGCTGTCAAATCTCAGAGCATGGTCATGAACTGTTCTTTTGCCGCAGGTGTTTGTCTCACTTCTCAAGACAGGATATCCTGGATGAGCATATGGAGTATTGCAGTCAGAAGGATGCAGTAAGGATCGAGATGTCAGAGGAAGGAACCCACATAGCCTTCCATAACCACAAAAAGTTGATGAGGGTTCCATTCGTCATTTATGCGGATTTCGAGTGTTTTACGGAGAAGGTCGACACTTGCCAGCCAGATCCATCACAGGCCTACACAAAGGCATATCAACAACATCGACCATCAGGTTTTTGCTATAGGGTGAAAAAGCTCACGGTGATTACAAAGACTCAGTCATCTACTGTGGAGAGGATGCAGCTAAAAAGTTTGTACAGTGCATGGAGCAGGAAGTTAGGGAGATTGCTAAGCTTTACAAGGAAAACAAACCTATAGAGATGACCGACGCTGATAAGGAGATTTTTGAAGCAACCACAAACTGTCACATTTGCGGTGGTGAATTAGCTGGTGACAAGGTTCGCGACCACGATCACCTCACAGGTAAGTATCGCGGCGCAGCACACAACCAGTGCAACTTGGACTTCCAACTTCCAAGACATGTACCCATTGTTTTCCACAACTTGAGTGGATACGACGCCCATCTTTTTGTGAGCGAATTAGGAGTTGGAGAAGGTAAGATAAACTGCATCCCTAACACCGATGAGAAATACATCAGCTTCTCGAAAGAAGTAGATGGAGCATTGGAGATGAGATTCATAGATTCATACAGGTTTCTACCGAACTCCCTGGAAACCTTGGCAGGGAATCTTACAAAGGAACAATTCGGGGCAATAAAGAAGTGCTTTGGCGATCGATATGAACTGATGATCAGGAAGGGAGTATATCCCTATGATTACATGGATGGACCTGCCAAGCTAGAGGAAACACAACTACCACCCAAGGAGGAATTCTTCAGCAAACTCTATGGCACACACATTAGCGACGAGGACTATGCACATGCTCAGCAGGTGTTTAAGGAATTTAGGTGTAAGACTTTGCGGGACTACCACAATCTATACCTGGAAAGTGATGTAGCCATATTGGAGGATATTTTTGAGGACTTCAGGAATATATGTATGGCTAACTATAAACTCGACCCTGCACACTATTTCACATCTCCAGGACTATCCTACGATGCAATGCTAAAATGTACAGGAGTGAGACTAGAACTCCTCTCGGACCCTGATATGCTGATGATGTTTGAGAATGCAACCAGAGGAGGTGTCGCCATGATCTCTCATCGACATGGCAAGGCTAACAATCCCTACATGAAGAATTTTGATAGCTCCCAGCCAACTAAGTATTTGACCTATCTTGACGCCAACAACCTCTACGGATGGGCGATGGTACAATCTCTGCCCACGGGAGACTTTGAGTGGGTAGAGCCAGAGGAGATTGAGGAGATCCTAGAGTACCCCGATGACCATGAATATGGTGCCATGGTGGAGTGTGATTTGGAGTACCCCGAAAAGCTTCATGATGCCCACAATGACTATCCACTAGCTCCAGAGAATGTGGAGATAAATAAGGTGCGAAAGCTAGTGCCTCACCTAGGTAAGCGCGAAAAGTATACTCTCCACTACGGAAATCTCAAAATGTACCTGACGATGGGCATGAAACTCACCAAAACACGTCGGATTATCAGGTTTAGACAATCCCCATGGCTCAAACACTACATCGATCTTAACACCGCTCTCCGCACCAAAGCTAAGACCGATTCTGAGAAAGACTTTTTCAAACTTATGAATGTCTCAGTTTTCGGAAAGACCATGGAGAGCATCCGCAAGAGGGTGGACGTCAAACTGGTCAATAGTGAAAAGCAGGCACTTAAGCTTGTGGCCAAACCCAACTTCGATCTTCGGGTCGTCTTTACCAACAACTTAGCAGCCGTCCACATGAAAAAGACCAAGCTTAAGTTTGATAAGCCTGTGTATTTGGGAGCCTGCATTCTGGACATCTCAAAGACCCTGATGTATGACTTTCACTACGGTTTCATCAGGAAGATGTACTGTGACAACGCCCAGCTGCTCTTTACCGACACTGACAGCTTGGCCTATGAGATTAAGATCGAGGACTTTTACAAGGACATTACACCACACGTCCAAGAAAAATTCGATACCTCCAGCTACCCTACCGAACATCCTTCAGGCATTCCCACCGGTGTAAACAAAAAGGTGGTTGGAATGTTTAAGGACGAGTGTGGTGGTAAAGTGATAACAGAGTTTGTAGGTCTCCGGGCAAAGTTATACTCCTACAAGATGAACAACCACACTACCACCAAGAGAGCAAAAGGAGTAACAAAGTCTGTCATCAAACAAAACATCACCTTTGCTGAGTACAAACAATGCATAGACACTCAGCTGGAAATATGTAAGCCGATGAACATCACCCGCAGCCGCCTTCACCAGATCTACACCGAGGAAATCAACAAAATAGCACTCTCGGCCAAGGATGACAAGCGACATATTCTGGAGGATGGGATCAGTACTCTTGCCCATGGACATTACAAAATCGAAAAGGATATCTAAAGGTCACTTTTGATTCATATAAATAAAGTAATGGGTAAAAGTAAACGCAACAATTATACAAAATTCACCAGGTATGCTGGTTCGGGTCAAGAATGTATTAATGAATATCGCCAGAAGATGGAACTCTATGAAAAACAAGATAAACTCAGAGACCGTTTGGAGATTCAGAAGAGAAAGGCTGAAGAGATTAAAGAACAAGAAGCTGAAAAGATCTTAGCGATGATGGAATTTACCAAAAATTATTACAGGATTTTACAACACCTCAGCAAGCTAGGATTAAATAAATGAGCAGCATACGTATGCACAACATAACCCTTCCCAATAAACCTCTTTCGAATGTAGACCTTGTGAAAGCCACCAAGGACCTAGGAATCCCATGTTTCAGAGGGGTGTTCATGCGAGATACCCTACCACAAAGCCCGCGCCGCATCGAATGTGGAATCTTGAAT